AACTCAGAGATTCTCAGACTGATTCTCAGAGGGAGGTCGTACTCGTTGAAACGAGTACGACCTCTGAGAATTCATTCGACCTCACGTCCCACTTGGGTCGGCCGGATGGGCGGTTCAGCGTGACCGCTAGTTGCAGCGCCTTCGTAATGTTTTATGCTGCCATCCTTCTCCCTCACATCTCTCTCCCTCAGGTGTATATCTGTCTCAGAAGTCCCTCGATTCAAAAAAAAGCTCAAAAGTATTTAAAAAAAGCTCAAAAGAGGAGTGCCAGGTGAGGAAGTGTGAAGACGTGCGCCGAGTCAGCGTCTTAGAATTATATAGTGCTAGGCGGCGGAGGACCCAAGAGGGCGATCCCCTAGCTGCCGGTGCTCAGTGCGACCGTAGCGTCCTAGCCACCTGCATTTCGGCCAGTAACGCTGCCGCAATTTCCTACGCGTTGCCCGTTAAGGAGGGGGAGCAGTTCTGTACTGCAGTTTTACTTCAGGATTTACCTCTTCCTGTCCGAAATATCATTACCTCTCATTCAATCTAATAATTACCTCTTACTGTTGACTCATTATTTTTGCGCCTTGTTCGCACAGAAAGTGTTTGGAAATTTGGGCTTGACATTGAAGCAGTCCTCATAGGTCTTAATAGACACTACACTTACCACTTATCACAACTAGTTTAAAAATGACTTGAAATCATAGCTATCTATGAAATATTTGTGCGCACCTGGCCAGCCATTCCTGGTTCTCCGGGGCTTCCCGGTTCGCCTCTTTCTCCCGGCTCTCCATTCGCACCCGGCAGTCCTATGGGACCCACTGAGCCATGCAGACCAGGAGCTCCTGGATAACCCATCGGACCGTCTTCACCTGGTGGACCTGGTGGACAGCGGATACAGGCTGAAAAAATTCTCGTTTCTGCAAATCTCCTCTATGTCTGAAAGACTATGTAATCACCTTTGGGATAATTATCGGGAATGGTGATGTGCCGTCCTGGTGGTCCAGGAGGGCCGTCTGCTCCATCCGGTCCGATTTCACCAGGATCACCTGGGGTACCTGGCGGGCCCTTGAGGCCCCGGTGGGCAGAGACGTTTCGGCAGACCACAATCTAAAAAAGACGCCTTGTGCGTTAATCGAAGGCACAACCCTAAGTTAGTCATAGTGAGTAAACCTTTCGGTGGTTAAGATAGAACTGTTCACAAAGGTCGCAGGTATCGCCTTCTCCCGGCTTTAAAAAGCGCTACAACAACCCGGATGCCTTCTTCTTTTATCCTATTTCTCTTCTGTCCGCAGCATGCTGGGTTCTGTCGCTCGCTATGCTCTCTCGTCTATGTTCTCTCCTCCGTGCTCAGTCTCTCACTACCTTGACTACAAAAAACCAGCCCTTTACATTAGGATTTTTGACAAAGTCCTTTCATTTTCCCTTACTGCTGGCCCACTTTGCACAAATATTCTCGTGGTCGTGTGTAAGAAGCACACCAGTTTGATCCTAGAGCGTGCCTTCAAATGAACAGGGATAGATGGAACTTACAGCAAATATTGTCACTCCTCTTGTGCCTTCCGGTGAACCTCGCAAACGGTGAACGATTTGTCTCGGCGCTTCCAAAGCCCATTATTTCGGACCACGTGTCTTCAGAGACCAACTGGAAAGTTCTTATCACAACTGATGGACATAGATGCTTCTCATCGAGCAGATGAGCAGCAGCAGTCAGCCAGCTCCTACCAACTTGGATTAATGTCAAAAGGTTACTAGTGGGTATTTGAACGTCATGGTCACCTCCAACGTTGAACCAATGCAATATATAGTTCCTTTCAAAAAGCGAGAAGAGCGTCGGGTGCAGACCATACACCACAAGTGACGACGGCCTCCACAAAATGTAAGTTTTCTGCCAATGAAATGATTAGCCTGTTGCAGTTGTATTCTATCAGTTGTCACTAATTACAACTATCATTTACCAAAAATCAGCTATCACTATGAACCACTACTAACCAGATTTACTTGGAGGCCGTCGTCACTTGTGGTGTATGGTCTGCACCCGACGCTCTTCTCGTTTTTGAAAGGGAGGGTATGAAATTCAATATTTCGAGACAACTTCCAGAAAAAAATCCACTATAAATTTATGAAACTTGTGGAAGTGCCAAAATTCAAAATAAGCCTAGCTCTTCATAGTTTAACGGCCACCCTACTCCTACCCATCCTGCTCTACATGGCTGGACCGGGCTGACGCAATGTCCAAGAGGGCGCGGTGTTCTTGCAACTTATTAGATCAATCTCAGCTGAACCAGACAAGTACTGCACACCACGCAAGTTGCAAAATTTTCTGGGAGGGGACATATTCGAGCTCAAACACCTGTTGGCTCCCCTGAGTCGCGGTATTAATCCACTACGCCTCCAAATGCTCCAACACTCTCGAATAGAGGTGGGAAAAACCAAGGTGCACAGCATGGGATAGGACGATGAGCACCGAACCATTTCTCTTCTACCTTTCTTGCTTTAGTCATACAACAACTCGGTAACACTTACTGTGTTGAATGAGCTGCATGACTCATCCTACAACAACGGCTACAATTCACATGCTCACCTCAAATGCGTGGTTGATGAGGTGACCAAGAAATTGAAATTTAATTAAAGGCACGCTCTTGGGGAGTGGAACGTATTTCACACCCGAGCGTAGTAGCAGATAAGAACAGCGGTTGATGTTGACACGTTTACGGGCTTTTGGAAAAGACATTAGTAGGCGCTAGAAGCTCGCTCGATCGGGTTCCACACCTTTGTCTGCAAGCACCGCCCTTCTGCAGTGTCGGTTACCACGTTGGGACCCTGCGGGAAAAGCAGTGTGTGCATTTGCAAGCAACGACGCCCATTGCGACAATGTTCCTGAAGCGAAGATGTGCTAGGTTCAGTGACAAACACGCCTCTTCTATACACAAGATGATAAGGTTGCGTGTGAATATTAGGAGGCCTTAGATTCGGGGCGTAATCGAGCTTATCTCGCTTTCTTTTTCGTTTCGACCACACAACCCAGCTTCTTAACTGGGTGAATGCTCTGCAATCATCTTAATCCCGAGTTGCCTTTAACAAAAACAATAAGAAAAGGACTCAGTGCGCCATGCGGACCTTTTTGGTTTTGTAGCATGAAAACGCCTTTATATAAAATCTCATGTCCGCACTTTCCATAAGATTAGCTGAATCTTATTTCTTATTAGTAATTAGTAAGGATTTGCAGCACCTTTTCCACGTCTCATTGGGGAACCTTTGGTCTTGGAACCTGAAAATCGGGAATAATTTGCAGGAGATCGAACGGAAATTCCCTACGGCGGATTAAAAGGCTACCCCTTATTAATTTGTTTCTATATTTTCATATGTTACGAACGGTGCTACGCCGGCAAAGCTTGACCAGCAGTTTACCCATGATTAAAAATTTATGGCTTCCGAGCTCTTATTGCCTCCATGTTCCCTCACTGAACATGCCCGCTTCCATTTTCTCTGCCTTCCTGAGTCCATCCCTAGCGTGTGCGTCTTTTCGGGTGCTTTTTAACACAATGCTTGACAGTTTTTCTCTCTCTCTCTCTCTTGTTGCATATGCCTGCTTCTACTATTTTAATCCCAGTATCGTTCGTATTTATAATTTTCCTTATCTTTCTAATCTTTCCACCTACATATCTTTACCGCTCTCGCTCGTTTCCTTTCTCTGTTGCGCCCTGCCTCTGTCTTTCCTTTTCCTTCCTTTCTCTATCGCTATGATTTTGCCCCAGTTTTCTCATTTTTCACTTCATCGTTCCCTTCCTTCTATTTACATTCTCCTACATCTTTCTACCGTTTTCCCTTTGTAGTCTCCTTTTCTTCGTTGACTCCCTGAACTCATTTTCTTTATCATCCTCTTTCCCGTGCTCAGTTCAACTCTCTTTACGGCAGAATTTACGATCAAAGGCAGCCTATTAGGATCAGCGGGGTGGCCAGTGCTGCTAGAATGAAGGAGAAACGATGAAAAACGGCCCAGGACCCGAGAACCACGTCCTTGTCCGTTGATTTCCACTGACGCTCTCTCCGCTAAGTGGTTAGTCACCTGGCGAGGTGAGGGGGAGGGGGGAGGGGTGGCTGTGATAAAGGCTGAGGGACGACCATGATGGATCGCCGAGAGCGTGTCCATTGATGTGAATTGCGTGTCGGTTCGCACCCTTACAAGGTCCGCCTGTCCTTCCACTGGGTAAGTTCCCCCTTTTTCGACATTCGACCTTATCGTAGAACATCCTTTAAAGGAGGAATTCGGAATTCACGATTAGAATGAAGGTCGAAGAAAGGGAAACTGACCTAGTTGAGGGACCCACGGACCTCCTGAGGGTGCGAACTGACGCGCAATTCGCATGGAAAAATTTGACCTCGGCGACCTATCATGCCTCAAAGCTGGCGGGTCCGGCGATCTCCGCCCACCGATCATCTGATCACTCGCCGTAGTTCAATACGTGGCGAGTGATTAGATAGCTGAGAGAGCGTAGTGTTGAAGAGGGCACAGCGATGAGAGTCGCATCAATGCTCGAATCAACGGGCAAGGAAGGGGTCCATTTCTCGGGTTCTGGGCCGTTTCTCATGGTTCTTCCTTCTTTCGTGTACCACTCACCATCCCTAGGTTAATTTGAAATGGGTTGCTTTTCCATCGTGAATTCGTCCTTTAAATAAGATTTTACTAGTTTTCTCATAGGACTTTAACAGAAAATCACGGAAAACAAGCTGAAAGAAATAATTGTGACAGAGCCGGTGCAGAAAATGATGGAAAGTACAGCCTACGATTGAGGGTAGCATAGCAGGTCGGGAAGCTCAAGAGCTTTCCATTCATCGGAATGCAGGAATACGTCGCACAAGTATTGCCACGTGATTTGATGTAGGCTGGTGAGGGACATTTTGTCTCCCCATTTGAAATGAAATTGATCACCCTTTGCTAAATTTGAACCGAGGGTCTCCAACTGAAATGAACACTACCTTTCACTCTATAAAAACTTCGTAATAGTCCTCGAACGGCAGCGTTAGTGTCAAAGAATCTGTTATGGAAGCATGGTGCACAGGTAGAGCTTAGCTCACGGTTCCTTGCTAGTCGCGGACCGCTATGACGGTTCCTGAAAGGCTGGTTGGGAGGAGGCTCACTACTA